AACCTAAACCCTGCACCCTAAACCGTAAACCCGAAAGCCTGCAGTAGCTGGCTTCCAATGAGGGCCACGCAGCCCTCAGTAATTGCCTCAAGCGATTGGGTGGGGTTTAGGGCTTAGGGCTTAGGGAGTTTCATAAAGAAAGGAACACGGTACGGCCTTATGTACAGCCACAACGCTGTACTAGTTGTTCTAGGGGCCCCTCCAAAAAAAGGCACCCGAATTTTCAAAATTATCCCATGTGTGGATGCCTGGGTTCCATGATGGGCATCATTGGGATTTGCATACCCCTTAACCCTTAACCCTAAGACCATAAGAATTAAACACCCCCAGCCCCTAGTAATGAATACCCCCGACAGAATAACGCTATATAAAAAGGAAGGAATATTGATTATCATGGGTAATGTTTAGGGTTCAGGGTTTGGAGGGTGAGGGGACTATGGGGTTTAGGGGCAAGGAGGCTTTCAAAGCTTTACGGGCTTTGCTGGGTAGACTTCCTGATGCTAAGGTTAGTTGGCCAGAAATCACGGCAAGCCCCTGGGCACTGGAAGACAACTTCACACAACCTATGGCTGTGTCAGTGGTGTATGGACCTGAAGAATTAGGAAGGTTCTTCCCTTGTCCTCTTTACATACCTCTGAAAGAACATCCACTGCAGCTCCTACCCAAACGTTCCCGGACCCCAAAATTCCTGAACCTGCTTTCAAGCCTGAAAAAAGCCCAGTTTCTCGTATCAACATGAAATAGCGCATAATGAAGGGATTCCAGGGAAGTCGTGGGAACAATCAAGAAAATAGATTGTCATTATGGGCTACTGGCTTGCCGCGTCCCAAACCCTAAGCCCTAAAGCCCAAATCCTAGCAATTGGGCAATGGCTTACAGACCCTGGCCCCGAACCACAACCCTGGCTTCCCAGTTGTTGGGACTCTGGCCGTCCGCGGGTTCGCCAGCGCCTGCCCGGCATTCATGCTGCAGAGGGAAGCTTCGTCCCCCTCATAATGACATAGATACTGCCCCTGATATGTAATGGTACCATATTGGGGGGGAGGGGGGTATGGTATTGTCAGGGGACGGGAGGCTTATTCTTAGGGGGAGGGGATTAATAGGCACTCAGGGAAAGGGTTATAGTCGAAGTTGTAGATATAGGGACTGTTTAAAGAAATCATGAGGACTTCTATGGGGATTCCTTCCTTCGTTCCCTATTTACTATCAGCAAAACTGTTGATAAAGGATATCCTCTAAACCCTAAACCCTAACCCCAAAACCTCACTCCCAACAACCTGAACACTAATCCCCTACATGATAGTACCTAAGCTCTAAACCCTAATTCCTAAACCCTAATAAAGGGAATCTTCCCCCTTCTCGAGTATCTTGCACCCTGGAAATTACCATAATTGGGAGCCCCGCGGCGGCGCCAAATTTCCCTAAACCCTACCTAGAGCCTCCAACGCGGTACCTTTTTTTGGGGGTCTTACTGAGAATCCTAACAAAAACCCTATCCAACCCAAAAGGAACTACATAGGAGGGTCCAGGTAAGTCCTAAGCCCTAAACCATCAACAATACGGCTTCAAGGTTCAGGATTTGGGTGGGAGGTTCGTGACATGGAGCTTCGGGTTAAGCATCGAAGGCTTCATGCTCATAGTCTTTGGCATGTGAGCTGTAGTCTAAACTCCTAGTATCACCCTTAATCAGCCCTATAGTAGTCCCCATATAAAATCCCTTATATAACCAACCCCCTTTAAGGAGTTTAGACTGTGGCTCATGTGGATTCAAAGCATGGTCAGGTTTGGCACCGAGGTTTCTTCTATTTGAGATCCCCTTTTATGTACCTTACCAATACCAGGATCCCGAACTGGGGGAGCCCAACAGCGGCCCACATGGAAATTCCCACAATGGAAGGACATAATTACAAGCAACAAGGCTGGTAATTGAGGTCAGCAACAGCAATGACTGCAAGGAGTTCGCAGTGGTGGCGGCGGCAGCTGTGGCATTTGCTGAATCGTCGTGACTAGAAATGCCAGGAGGAGCGCTGTTCGGACCAGAGACAGTGCTAGATGCGCTGTGCATGCTTTATTCACCTTCTTACTTCCCAAGCCTGAATTCCAATATCAATCGGGGACATTTTTTGTGAGACAGAGCAGTGTGGATCAACGCTATCGCCGGCTTAGCAGCATGCAACAAGGCACCTTAACAGTAGTGTGCTGCCACAACCCCCAAGCCGTGCAGCCCAACGGCCGCGCTGCAGCTACTGCCAAATACCTGCACCTCAAAATGCCCACAATGAGAACCATTCTACGCATACCAGAATGCTTCTCGTACATCCAACACACTTTGCCTGAAAGAGTTGTCCGCCGCTGACGTAGTCCATCACGAGAAACAGCCATCTCTCCTTGAGCAAGGCATTCCTTAAGGTCTCGGGTCTCCCGCAAGGTCTCGCCCAAAGGGCTCAGGCACTTATCTTATGTCATATGTTGTTAGGGACAAAGGTGATATCTGGATAGGTACCCTGGGTCCTAACTACATGCTATAAACCCGTCTGGGGGAGACTGACAATATACTGTACTGTAGTTCGTGCTCTGCATTCATCAAGCGTTTTAAAGTGCTAGTTTTTCCACCTTTGGTGGCCCTCGAAAGCCCACACAAGAGTTCTGACTACACAGAACCACTGTACGAAACGCCAATCTTGCGAAACTTGCATGTTGTCCATGACAGTAGCAAGAGGCCACTCTTTTCCAATCCAGACATGTTGCAAAGGCTTGTGGATCTGCATCCACAAAACAAAAAGACGATGTGGTACTGTTTCTTAGGGTCATCAAGTCAGCAAAGTCATTATAGGTGGCTGAACCAGGTAAGATTACATTCTGCTTAAAACTGCTATAGCCCGTGATGCACAGGCAGGCTATGCCATCAGGTGTTAGATGCCTACACTGGATGGAGCAAATCTTTCACGAGGACGCCATGTAGTGTGACTCCACGCGGTTTAGAGTGTTTAGGGTACATGGGGCTGTGCAAGATGTCCTCCATCCATCGTATCATCCTGGGCTACAAACCTTATCAAACGCAATTCAGTGAATTATTCTCGAACTGTCGGTTACCTAAGACCACCCCCAAAACCCTAAAACCTAAACCCTAAAACCGTCTCCATCCTGTAAGTATAAAAGAGCTGCTGTAAAGCAAAGGAAGGATATTCCGAAGTACCCAGGCTTTAGTGGTAAACATGAGTGGTAGGTGTCCTTGCAAGTGTGCTGGCTGGGATTCTGCCATGACATGTGCCAAGTGAAGTCAAGTCAGTGAACCTATGCCTTCACCCACTCAGAAGGACAACAATGGACAATGGCTATGGCATCAGGATCCAGATCTTCCTTTGGTACCACAAACCTTTATAATCCCTGTATAACCCCTATATACCCTTATATAACCCCAATATAGCCCTACATAATCTCTATATATACCCCTATAAGTCCTGAGCGGGTGTCTAGTCCAACGGCTCAAGCAGAATCATGTTCATACCCTGACAGCCCAACACCCCCTCAGTGAACAATATACCTGAAATCATCTAGGGAATAGTCTTACTGGGGATTAGCAGGGAATTATGCAATGAATTATATAGGAATTATATTCCCTTATTCCCTACTGACCACCACTAAGTATTCCTTCTAAACCCGAAACCCTAAACCTCTCTGGCAGCCCCCTTACACAATCCCGCAGGTCGCCCTTCCTGGCAAGCAGGTAATCCTTTTCGGGGTTGGGTTCAGGGTTTCGGGCTTATGGTCTCCCATGTCCCTAAACTCACATGGTAGTTTCCCTAGATAGGGATACCCCAATCTAGACCCCCAAAATCCTATAGTCCTAATTTTGGGAAAGTTTTACATGCACCTGAGATGGACAGCTGACCAAGCCCAGAGCTTCGTTGAAAGAAGCTCATCGGGTTTGGGGGTTTGGGGCTTAGGGTTTTTGCTTCCAGGGCAAACCCTAAAGCCGAAAGCCTTAAACCGATACACTGAACTCACTGAACCCTCAACCCCTACCTCGTCCCCATATGGCTCCCTAAATCCCAAACCTTCCCCCATACACCCTTACATATCCCGGCTTCTGGCCTTTTCAAAGACTTCTATCAGCTGGACGATGTGCGGGTGCGACACAGACTGCGGAGCATGGCTCATTCAGGAAACTAGAAGATTTCACTGTTTAGGCTTTAGGGTGTTTACCAAATAAGAGGAGTGAATCTAGGAGCTTATATTGGGGGGATTATACTGGTGTTTAGGGTATTCACTGGGAGCCCCAAACAGGGAACTTCAAGAATACAGCAGGAATATGATAGGAATATACCTACCAGGGTCCTTGTATTCCTATTACTGTATATTCCTACTAGATTCTTAGGGTTCCCTGTTTGGGGTTCCTAGTAAAGTCCGTTTTATCTTGAGTGGGATCCTCTGCATCGTGCCTCGAACATGCGTACATAGCATCCTCTCCACTGCGCTAAATTCGTACTTTCCCCACATAGGGGACCAATATAGACCCCAACATATTATAATCCTTATTCTTAGGACCCCAAAAGGTACCCCTAATTGTGGGAAACACCCAATTGGTGCCAGCTGCAACCTGTAAAGCAACCCTGTGCGACGCGTCCCTGCCTGAAGCACGCTCGCCTCAGTCATCCAACTTACTAAGGGTTAGTAGGGCTGGCATCCAAAGGGGTATAGGACTTCTCCCCACCGTATCATGGGCGGCTCCCTGACATAGTGCGTGAAACCATTTTTTTTGGCTCGAGTGTAATTCAACATTTGGACAGGAAGGTGGTGGCATCGTGTTTTGGGCAATCCCGGAGCGCAATCGCCCTGAGTAGACGAAACGCTAAACACTAAATCCTCTGCTTACGGGTGCTTCGTAGAGAAAGGGGAATACAATGCCTATATATATCCCCTGTACAGTACCTTTCCTTATTCTCTACTAACCCTAAACCCTACAGCTTAAACCCTATAATAGATTCCCTCATTCCCTACAAAGAACTCCCCCAATTAGTCTGAATCTCTGAGTCGATCCAACCTGGGCCTTGAAGAACGCGCATCTTACTGGTTCTTGCTAGGGAATAAAGGAATATGTTACATAGGGTTTAGGCCCTAAACCCCAAATCCAAACCCTAAACCATAATATATTATGATAACGGGTTTCCTAGGGATTCTATTCCTTAACTCCCTTCGAACAACCCCTTAGGCATCCTGTGTTCCCCATGTTGTTGAGAGACCCTTTGCTGCTCCCTACGGTGGATGGAGGAATCTTGCACCACCTCAAGTCGTTAGATAGCTACAACATAAGGGGTTATATAGGATAATGGAAAAGAAAACGGAAACTACTATACTAAAATATGGTATATATTGGGGTAATATGGGGTTATATAGGGATAATGGAAAAGAAAATGGAAACTACTAGTTAGGGTTTAGGGGTTTAAGGGTTTAGTGTGGGTTACAATAGTTTAGGGGCCACTAGGCCCGGGGTGGTGCAAGATTTCCTCCATGACACAGTACTATCCTTATGCAAAACACTGCGATCCCGGAATTTCATTTCGGGTCTTCTGCTAATTTTGTGTACTTTTGAGAGATGCCGAGGATTGTTGAGATCTTCGAGATATTTCCAAAGGACGATCTCATTACATAGCAGTTTCTGTTTTGTTTTCCATTATCCCTACATAGCCCCAATATACTGTATAGGAGTTTCCATTTTACTTCCCATTATCCCTATATAATCACCACATCTGAGGCTGCCAACTTCCTTCCGCGCAGACAGCCATGCGCCTGCAACTTCGAAAACCTGCATGCGCAGGTGCTCCTATATAGTCCCCCTTAAGTAGATAGAATATTGGGGTTTTATAGGGGTTATATAGGGAGAATGGAAAAGAAAATGGAAGCTACTATATTAATATAGGGTATATATTGGGGTTCTAGTCCCCCTTAAGTCTTAGATAGAATATGGGGTATATG